TAAAGATATACTATATTTTGCTTTAATGCTCGCATAAATGTGTGGCATTATTATAATTTTTATAATATTTTTCTAATATTTTTATACAATCGGCATAAATGTATATATCAAGTTGTAAACATAATTAGAAAAATATTATATTTTTACATTTTAATATTCTATTCTATAAAATTTACAATTTAATCATAACATTAACATAACTAGTAAATATTATACACGTCGATATAAAGACACACACATGAAAATTTGATATATAGAATACCGCGGTAATGCAATGTATTAATGAAAATCAACAGGTGGTATGCAAAAGTGATAAAGAGAATCAAATTTTATTTAAATAATTAATATCATCTTGTATATCTATTCGTCGGTCGTTTTTCATGCCTTTTTTTACAAGTAAATTTAATTTCTGATGTAATGACATATAAAAAAGCGTAAAAAGCAAAGAAAGTATTAAAATTTAAAAATTATAAAATAAAAAATGGCATTGTACTTTTAATTAACAATATCAATATGATAAAAAAATATCTTTTTTCGTACCTCTCTTCTTACCTGGTCATTTCTTTAACTGTATAACATAGTGGATATAATAATAAAAGTATATTACAACTGTGTCATTAAATAACTACATGGAAAAATAATAGGCAAGTATTATCGCATTTATTGCTCAAGTAAAAATTGTTACAAGTATTCGATATCTTTTGACACAAGCAGCATAGAACTTTTATTTTCCACTATGTTCAAGATAATTCTACGCATATGAAAAATACATATCTATAAAAAAGATCGTAGTGCATATTTCGTTTATGCGGTAGAAAATCGCATCACGTAACGATGCCGAGCATGTAAATCGCATGCAAGCCTCTACTGAATATAAGTAGAATTCTCAACGTTAAGGCTGGCCAAGGGCAGACCTCATAGAATTCGAAAGATCAATGATGAGTCGGCTTCGTATATCTTGCTATTCTCTACTCAACATAATGAGAATTTCTCGCATTTTTTAGTCTTCGCGGTATTAATATGTCTTCGTAGTTACGCAGAAAACTTCATCAAATCTATTACAAAATTAATCAATTAAAATATTATTATCTCATTGAAACATCATGGCAATCAAAAACGTCGAAATTTATTGACAATAATTTAATAAGTACTCATTAGATGTAGATGTAGTGGTTCGAATAAATTACATAAACAAATTGTTCAAATAATTAAACTAAAAAGTGCCTAGATATTAAAATACAACATATTGTTTACATTAAATATTTTAAAATATCTAATACTACATAATTTTTACTTTTACAAAGTATGTATGTTACAATTTATAACGATAATATGATTAAGACATTAAAGGTAAAATATTATAAAGATTTCTCTTCTTTTTAATAATATTAATAATAATTTAATATATACACATACAGTGAATACTCATATTTGTTTCCCTGTAAAACAGACTAAACTGCTATTATTAGTTTTACTATCTTTTATTTCAATGCTTCAAATTTACTAACTTCTTTTGAAATTAATTTCTTTTGATGGAAAATTGCTCGTATAAATTTTTGAAATAGCTCATGTAATGAAAATTTATATCGTAGAACGATATATTTCGTTTTCAGCGATTGTGAAAATGTTTCGTACAATTAAAAGAAAGATCGTCATGCTTAAGACCTTTGATCCACGAAGAATCTGTGTACACTTGTATTAGAATAAGTGTTGCAACACGTTATCCATTAAAAAATTTCATTGCTATTCTTCTCGTTTATTTTTTTAAGTAAGTGTCCGCTTACAAGTGAGATCGGTTTTTGCGGTTTGTTAGGATAACCGTCAGAGGGATAGGTACATAGGCTTAGTACACAATTCGTATCGCGTACGCTGAAACCCACCAGAAACGTGAATAGCATATATAAGTCATCCAACAATATAAGGATCACCATTTCAACTCGAAATTTTTGCTAGCTTTCGAATGTTCCGTCGTTTTTATGAAAACAGAATATTGATTTACTATGTAACTTTGTTATAATATATAAAACAGTATTGTGAATATAAGAAATATCTTTGTTTTTTTTTATTTATATAATATTATGTTTCAAATTTTGCTTTGATAATTAATATGTTACTAAATATAAATAACACACTACTTTAAAAAATAATTTTCTTCATTATTTGATTTCCTTTGAAATCATTTAAAATTTATTTGGAATATTCTTTATATTTATATTCTTGATTATAGTCTTATTTTTCTAAAAAATTATTCGGTTCACGAAAATAAAAACTATTACTGTCACATTTTATACATTAAGTGCGTGCGTGCGTGCATGCGTGCGTGCGTGCATTATAAAAGAGAAATGAACAACATTTCTCAGTTATCTTTTATTTAATATCATTTCTTAATCGTAAAATTCTTCAAATTTTCTCTTTAAACATTTATATATATATTTTTTTATAATTATACTTT